ACAATGTCTGTCTCCAGAGTGATTGATGATTTCAATTAATTGAATCAGATATGGCCTTGGCTTTAAATGGCTTGTCAAGTGTGTGTGTGTGTGTGTGTGTGTGTGTGTGTGTGTGTCATTCAATTCAACAGGCTCTGCTTTCTCTCCTACAACCTAATGACCGTTCTTGGGGTTGGTAATGAAACTTGATTGGAAGGAAGAGATGTGTGTGTGTATAATCACTGTGCATGAGAAAGAGCAGGCTAATTATATCATGTTGAAATATCTGATGTGGCTGGTTTGGGTCACATGATCATGGGGTTTATAAATAAGTGGGTGGCACTGCCTGTGCGATGGCGTGTAATCTTGGCATGCACACACACACACACATGACGTGAAGAACTCTTCCTCATTGCTCAGCTGTGTGTGTGTGTGTGTGTGTGTGTCAGCTTCTGCAGTGTGTGAGTTTGCACCTGTCTCTGCTTGCTGAGAATTCCAGCCAGGTCACCTGGGATACAAGTCAGTATTCTACGTCCATCCATGTCTGAGGACGTCGGGAGATTACTTGGAAACCGGCCACTAGGGGCAACAGTGAGTGCTGTTACCTTCAAGTAGGTTTCGGTTTTGCTAGGGCGTAACCATCTGCCTTGGATTCCAAAGGTTGCAAGGTCGAATCCAGCAATAGAAAGTTGTTTTTTATATTTTTGTTTTAAGCTTATCCCAAACCTTAATCCTTACTTTAACCATTCAGAGTTAATGACTAACCTTAAGAATTTGGAGTTAATGCCTAAACTTAACCTAAAACACTTAGAAATGTGACGTTTGAGAAACATGGATGAACGTCTAATTATGACATGAGACTATTTTTGTTGTTGTTGATCGACGGCAATGGCGACAGCTAGTCTTACTGGGGTCAGACACATAACGAAAAACACTTTACAGACAAAATACTTTACAATTTACATATATTTAAAAAAAAACATTAACATGTAGTGTGTGTGTGTGCATCTATCAGTTCCACATACATGTCAGTACATACACACAACAAGAAGGTCACATGGGGGAGAGGCGTTGTGCTGTGAGGTCTTGCTTTATTCATTTTTTTTAAAAAACAGGTTTGCTGTTCACTTGCGCTATATAATATGGAAGGGAGTTCCGTGCATGGCTCTGTATAATACTGTACATTTACTTGAATTTGTTCTGGACCTGGGGACTGTGAAAAGACTCCTGGTGGCACGTCTGGTGGGGTACGTGAGAGATGGTAGGAGGAGTCACGGAACACACACACACATATTAGCTGGGAAATCATTCAAATTAGAGGCTTTGTGCAAACACTTCACCTAAAGACCATGGCAGCACTTTAGGGTGCTGGTGATTACACACATCACACGTCACACATTATACATCACACACATCACACACACACACACACACATCACACACATTCACAGAGTGGGAGGGAGAGAGATGGTAGGAGAAAGAGATTGGTGAGAGAGAGGGGGGAGAGGGGGGAGAGAGAGATGGTGGGAGAGAGAGGGGGGGGAGGAAGGAGAGGGGGGAGAGTGGAGGTTAATCAGATATGTGAGTGATAATGATGATCATGATGTTGATGGTGAAGGAGCTAGGATAAGAGATTGATGTTGATGGTGAAGGAGCTAGTATAAGAGATTGATGTTGATGGTGAAGGAGCTAGGATAAGAGATTGATGTTGATGGTGAAGGAGCTAGGATAAGAGATTGATGTTGATGGTGAAGGAGCTAGGATAAGAGATTGATGTTGATGGTAAAGGGGCTAGGATAAGAGATTGATGTTGATGGTTAAGGAGCTAGGATAAGATATTGATGTTGATGGTGAAGGAGCTAGGATAAGATATTGATGGTGATGGTGAAGGGGCTAGGATAAGAGATTGATGGTGAAGGAGCTAGGATAAGAGATTGATGTTGATGGTGAAGGAGCTAGGATAAGAGATTGATGTTGATGGTGAAGGAGATAGGATAAGAGATTGATGGTGAAGGAGCTAGGATAAGAGATTGATGGTGAAGGAGCTAGGATAAGAAAGTGATGGTGAAGGGGCTATGATAAGAGATTGATGTTGATGGTGAAGGAACTAGGATAAGAGATTGATGTTGATGGTAAAGGAACTAGGATAAGAGATTGATGTTGATGGAAAGGAGCTAGGATAAGAGATTGATGTTGATGCTAAAGGAGCTAGGATAAGAGATTGATGTTGATTTTAAAGGAGCTAGGATAAGAGATTGATGTTGAAGGGTCTCAGATAAGAGATTGATGTTGATGGTGCAACATCTTAAACCACAGACGTACAACCGCAGAGTGGGTAGTGGGGGGCTGACAGAGAGACGGGCATTCCCACTGCTAAAATACTGTACTTTTGGCTGGGTTTGGTCCACAAGTTTGGACCAGTACACCAATATATATACTCTTTATCCAAAGCGACTTACAGTCATGCATGCATACATTTTGTACGTATGGCTGGTCCCGTTGCACTATAGCCTATTTATTGCCTTACCTCCATAACTTGCTACATTTGCACACACTGTATATATATTTTCTGTTGTCTTTTTTGGCTTTAGGTTTTTTTACCCCATATGTAAATCTGTGTTGTTGTTTTTATCGCACTGCTTTGCTTTATCTTGGCCAGGTCGCAGTTGTAAATGAGAACTTGTTCTCAACTGGCTTACCTGGTTAAATAAAGGTTAAATAAAAAATAGCACACAGTCAGAAATTAGGGATAGTTAAACCAAATGAGTTACTATATGAAAACACCATATTCTCCTAAGTCACCTGGTGGAGAGTACAGGTAGACTGAGATGAAGAGGACAGCCGGTAGAAGGGGGGGGGGGGAGATACATCTCTCTCAGGGTTGTAGTGCTGAGCGATTAGTGCTTTTTGAGGTCTGTTCGGTTTTGGTTCGATTATAAGAAAAATATTCAAGCATTTACTAAATGTACTGAATAAGACTCACATTCCTATCAATCTTTTACCCAGATGTTAGCAGAGATGCAGAGAAGCAAATGATCAAATCAAAACAAATGTTATTTGTCACATGTGCCGAATACAGTAAAAATACTTACTTACAAGCCCTTAACCAACAAAGCAGAGTAAGAAAATGCTAAATAAACAAAAAAGAATAATAAACAAAAGAATAATAATTAAAAAAGTAACACAATAAAATAACAATAACGAGGATATATACAGGGGGTACCGAGTCAATGTACGGGTTAGTCAAGGTAATTGAGGTCATATGTACATGTAGGTAGGGGTAAAGTGACTCTGCATAGGTAATAAACAGCGAGTAGCAGCAGCGTAAAAAAGGGGGTCAATGTAAATAGTCTGGGTAGCCATTTGATTAACTGTTCAGCAGTCTTATGGCTTGGGGGTAGAAGCTGTTAAGGAGCAATTTGGACCTAGACATGGCACTATGGTACCGCTTGCCATGCGGTAGCAGAGCGAACAATCTATGACTTGGGTGGCTGGAGTCTATGACAATTTTTAGGGTCTTCCTTTGACACCGCCTTGAATAGAGGTGCTGGATGGCAGGAAGCTTGGCCCCAGTGATGTATTGGGCTGTACGCACTACCCTCTGTAGCGCCTTGCGGTCGGATGCCGAGCAGTTGCCATACCAGGTGGTGATGCAACCGGTCAGGATGCTCTCAATGGTGCATCTGTAGAACTTTTTTTGGATTTGAGGACCCATGCCAAATATTTTCAGTCTCCTGAGGGGGAAAATGCGTTGTCGTGCCCTCTTCACGACTGTCTTGGTGTGTTTGGACCATGATAGTTTGTTGGTGATGTGGACACCAAGGAACTTGAAGCTCTCAACCCGCACCACTACAGCCCCCTCAATGTGAATGGGGGTGTGCTCGGCCCTCCTTTTCCTGTAGTCCACAATCAGCTCCTTTGTCTTGCTCATGTTGAGGGAGAGGTTGTTGTCCTGGCACCACACTGGCAGGTCTCTGACCTCCTCCCTATAGGCTGTCTCATCGTTGTCGGTGATCAGGCCTAACACCGTTGTGTCGTCGGCAAACTTAATGATGGTGTTGAAGTTGTGCTTGGCCACGTGGTCGTGGGTGAACAGGGAGTACAGGATGGGAATAAGCACTCACCCCTGAGGGGCCCCTGTGTTGAGGATCAGCGTGGCAGATGTGTTGTTGCCTACCCTTACCACCTGGGGCCGGCCCGTCAGGAAGTCCAGGATCCAGTTGCAGAGGGAGGTGTTTAGTCCCAGGGTCCTTAGCTTAGTGATGAGCTTTGAGGGCACTATGGTGTTGAACGCTGAGCTGTAGTCAATGAACAGCATTCTCACATATTACTTTTCTTTAACAAAATAACCACCAGTCAGGAGAATACAGAGGTATGCTTAGATATGCAGAAAAATAAAATATATTTTTTTACATGGAATTAGCTAAGCATAATGATTATGGCTCTAGATTGCAGGAAAAGGGTGTTTCAGGTGTTTGAAAATTCTCCAACTTACGGACGTGGGTCTAGCCCCCCTCCCCAGTCATCCTCACCTACTTTGTGCCCGCTCAGATTTCCAGGGTGCATAATGCCCCTGGGTCTGTGTGTAGCAAGCGTAAAAGTGTATCTCTGTCCGAGCCGGAAAGAACAGGTGCATTGGATTATGGTCATTGTAGTTAGTTACCAGTTAGTCATTGTAGTTAGTCTAGTTTCTGCACAGAACTAGAATGAAAACTACAACTCCCTTCAGCCCAGCGTCCCACATAATTCTTGACTTGATTTCTCTCGTGAATTATTTGATTTCTCTCTAGAGAAACGACGTGTTGGGCTCACAAAAAAAAAAAAACTACATGGATTTGAAGTAATTGAACCGACGTCAGTCAATTAATTGTTTAATAACCAAAAAAGTACAACATTTTGGTTAATCACTCAGCACTACAGGGTTATCAACTTTGATGCGATTAATCCTCTCCTCTCTTCTCTGTTTCAGAATGTGAAGCTGTTGCTATGTCAATATAATATCCTCTCTAGAAGTGTTCTCTATGGAATCTTTCCTCATTGGAACGTTCACAGCAGAAGGTTCCTCCTCTGGACACTACACAGAACCCCATTCGGAGGAATACCTCATTGCCGTGGGCGACAACAATGTCACATGGCCAGTCTGCACCTATAAGGAGGATTTTAAGCGCTTCCTACTTCCTGCCGTCTACAGTGTGGTCTTCCTGATTGGTCTGCCTCTGAACGGGGCGGTCATCCTGAAGATCTGGAGGTCACGACCCAACCTGACCCGGAGCAACGTCTATATGCTCAACCTGGCCACGGCTGACTTCCTGTATGTGATGTCACTACCTCTGCTCATCTACAACTATGCCAGTCATGACTACTGGCCCTTTGGAGAGCTGGCCTGCAAACTGGTCCGCTTTCAGTTCTACAGGTAATATAGCTACTCATTAACTGACATATTCATATCATAGTTCTATAGATTACTTAAGACACTCAAACTCATATACCTTCAGTTCTACAGGGAATAATCAGTCATACACTGCATGTTACCTTTCTGTGGAGAGAGCTTTGAGTGGATTGTAGAGAGAAAACCCAGTCAGTCATTATCACATCAGTGATATTATTTCTTGTTTCCACAGTAACCTGCATGGCAGTATCCTGTTCCTGACCTGTATCAGCCTCCAGCGCTACGTGGGCATCTGCCACCCTATGGCTGGCTGGCACAAGCAGGGGGGTCGCAGGCTGGCATGGGTGGTCTGTGGGGCTGTGTGGCTGGTGGTCGCCCTCCTCAGTGCCCCAACTTTCCACTACGCCTCCACAGGAACACAACGCAACCGCACTGTCTGTTACGACCTGAGTCGACCGGAGCACTCGACCGACTACTACCCATATGGGATGGCCCTGACCTGCCTGGGCTTCCTGTTGCCTTTTATGGGCATCGTGGCATGCTACTGTCGCATGGGTCGCCTCCTCTACCGCCCGCCATCCTATCAAGGCGTTACCATGGCAGCCTCAATGGAGAAACGGGACAAGGCGGTGAAGATGATAGTCATCGTGGTGACGGTGTTCGCTGTTAGCTTCCTGCCGTTCCACCTTACTAAGACCATGTATCTGTTGATACGAACTTTACCAGGTGCTCCGTGTGCGACACGGAACCTGTTCTCAGTGATCTACAAGTGCACCAGGCCGTTCGCCAGCATGAACAGTGTTCTAGATCCTATACTGTTCTACTTCACACAGCCGCGGTTCCGCAAGAGCACCAGAATACTGGTCACCAAGATCACCACTCTCAGAGACAGGGAACCAAGGTGTGAGAAAGTGAAAACCACTAGATTATTTAGACCCCATGTTTAACTTGAAGTTCAATCAAGGGTAAACTCGCTTTGAGACAAAGGAACCAAGGAGTGTATAAAACAGCCATAGTCCATGGTTGTATTACACCGAGATACATGGGTTCTGGGTACCGAGAACCCATCCAGAACCCTCATTGACTTCTGCTCTGCCAGCATGGCAACAAGTCAGTGTGTTTGCTACTGTGTGTGCTTGTGACTGTATGCTAAAATGCATGAAGTAGTCAGCCATAACACTGCGTTTGGTTGCCATAGTATTATGTCATGTATCCTGTATGTCCAAGCACACTGCTAGTTGTTTTCTACATGAGCCACTAAGTGGCATGTATTACCTACATATCCCATGGCCTTAAAGGGATAATCCACCCCAAACCACTAATTCCTATGATTAACATTGTTAAACAGTGATAAATAACACTCATATGTTAAAACAATATTTTTAGTGAACAAATCATTTTGTTGTTATAAACAAGGTTGGTAGCAACATGTGAAAATCGTTGTGGAAATCTGTTGCAGCTCAAGTCAACTACAAAACCCACAATGCAATGCTCTCTTTCTGGGCAGGCTGGCTGGCTAGCTAGCCAACTTAGCAACACACAATAATAGCAAAATCAATATCATCATGAAAAATAGCTAGCTAGCTTTTAAAATCACCTAAACAAAGTGCATTATCAATTTAGGAGGCTATCTCAACGAGCGAGTGCAGAGGACGTTGCTATGGCAACATCTACCCTTTCCCACGTTTCCCACACAGTGCGCATTGCCAGATGGTACTTGAAGGAGAAAACACACTAGATCCAGTGACGAGAACCATGTAGCTATGACGCGTTCCTAGATGATTTCCTGGTTTCGCAGACGGACCACTTAGAATTTAAATCATGGGGGATCTTTTTTTTTTTACCCAATGATAGAACATAGGCTTTCACGAAATGGACCTGTTTCATAATGTTTTATTTCTGGTGGTGGATTATCCCTTTTAAATTGACTGTTGTGTCTGTTTCGACTGTGGTGTGCCATTTCCTGTGTGTACTGTACCTTTCCTATCTAATAGGTATTTAGATATTATAAAAGTGAGAATGTCAGAGACAAACCTTTATAATATAATAATAATAATATGCCATTTAGCAGACGCTTTTATCCAAAGCGACTTACAGTCATGTGCGCATAAAAATGTTTTACGTATGGGTGGTCCCGGGGATCGAACCCACTACCCTGGCGTTACAAGCACTATGCTCTACCAATTGAGCTACAGAGGACCACATGTCTTTTATGTCTTGAAATAAGCACTTATATGACATGTAGATTGATACTGATGCTTTGATCTAATGCACTCCTCAATATGATGTGAATTTTTTTTTTTTTGCCATTACAAAATAAGGTATAGTTGTATTTTTTTGTTTGTTTGTTTTTTCCCCGAAACCACAGCCTTGTAAGTACATAAGTCTCCAAGAGAATAACACGGGACTAGTTCCTCAAACCAAACCTATTGGCCTGGATTGACAGATCAGCTGTTGTCCCTATGTGGATCAGCTGCAGCAGATTGGATTGCTCAATACCACTTATTATTGGTTTGTTTTGGTCAAATGTGTGTGACATCTGATGTTTCTGTTACCAAATCTGCCGGGAATGTGGTGTGTGTGTGTGTGTGTGTATGTGTGTGTGTAACCTCTTCCTTAGCTTAAGGCCCTTAATGAAGTGATAACACAAGGTCGATATGTGCGGCACATGTCTGTTTGTGTCTGATAGGAGCCACAGTGAGCTCCAGAAGTATTGGGACAGTGGCAATGTTGTTGTTGATTTGGCGCTGTACTCCAGCACTTTGGATTTGAAATGATACAATGACTATGAGGTTAAAGTGAAGACTGAGCGCTTTAATTTGAGGTTATTTTAATCCATATCGGGTGAACCGTTTAGAAATTACAGCACTTTTTGTACATGTGTACATTTTAGAGAACCAAAAGTATTGGGACATATTCACTTACAGTGGGGAGAACAAGTATTTGATACACTGCCGATTTTGCAGGTTTTCCTACTTACAAAGCATGTAGAGGTCTGTAATTTTTATCATAGGTACACTTCAACTGTGAGAGACGGAATCTAAAACAAAAATCCAGAAAATCACATTGTATGATTTTTAAGTAATTCATTTGCATTTTATTGCATGACATAAGTATTTGACACATCAGAAAAACAGAACTTAATATTTGGTACAGAAACCTTTGTTTGCAATTACAGAGATCATACGTTTCCTGTAGGTCTTGATCAGGTTTGCACACACTGCAGCAGGGATTTTGGCCCACTCCTCCATACAGACCTTCTCCAGATCCTTCAGGTTTCGGGGCTGTCGCTGGCAATACGGACTTTCAGCTCCCTCCAAAGATTTTCTATTGGGTTCAGGTCTGGAGACTGGCTAGGCCACTCAAGGACCTTGAGATGCTTCTTACGGAGCCACTCCTTAGTTGCCCTGGCTGTGTGTTTCGGGTCATTGTCATGCTGGAAGACCCAGCCACGACCCATCTTCAATGCTCTTACTGAGGGAAGGAGGTTGTTGGCCAAGATCTCGCGATACATGGCCCCATCCATCCTCCCCTTAATACGGTGCAGTCGTCCTGTCCCCTTTGCAGAAAAGCATCCCCAAATAATGATGTTTCCATGCTTCACGGTTGGGATGGTGTTCTTGGGGTTGTACTCATCCTTCTTCTTCCTCTAAACACGGCGAGTGGAGTTTAGACCAAAAAGCTCTATTTTTGTCTCATCAGACCACATGACCTTCTCCCATTCCTCCTCTGGATCATCCAGATGGTCATTGGCAAACTTCAGACGGGCCTGGACATGCGCTGGCTTGAGCAGAGGGACCTTGCGTGCGCTGCAGGATTTTAATCCATGACGGCGTGGTGTTTTACTAATGGTTTTCTTTGAGACTGTGGTCCCAGCTCTCTTCAGGTCAATGACCAGGTCCTGCCGTGTAGTTCTGGGCTGATCCCTCACCTTCCTCATGATCATTGATGCCCCACGAGGTGAGATCTTGCATGGAGCCCCAGACCGAGGGTGATTGACCGTCATCTTGAACTTCTTCCATTTTCTAATAATTGCGCCAACAGTTGTTGCCTTCTCACCAAGCTGCTTGCCTATTGTCCTGTAGCCCATCCCAGCCTTGTGCAGGTCTACAATTGTATCCCTGATGTCCTTACACAGCTCTCTGGTCTTGGCCATTGTGGAGAGGTTGGAGTCTTTTTGATTGAGTGTGTGGACAGGTGTATTTTATACAGGTAACGAGTTCAAACAGGTGCAGTCAATACAGGTAATGAGTGGAGAACAGGAGGGCTTCTTAAAGAAAAACTAACAGGTCTGTGAGAGCCGGAATTCTTACTGGTTGGTAGGTGATCAAATACTTATGTCATGCAATAAAATGCAAATTAATTACTTAAAAATCATACAATGTGATTTTCTGGATTTTTGTTTTAGATTCCGTCTCTCACAGTTGAAGTGTACCTATGATAACAATTACAGACCTCTACATGCTTTGTAAGTAGGAAAACCTGCAAACTCGGCAGTGTATCAAATACTTGTTCTCCCCACTGTATATGTGTATTAAAGTAGTCCAAAGTTTAGTATTTGGTTCCATATACCTAGCACGAAATGATTACATCAAGCTTGTGACTCTACAAACTTGTTGGATGCATTTTCTGTTTGTTTTGGTTTTGTTTCAGATTATTTTGTGCCCAATAGAAATGAATGGTAAATAATGTATTCATTCAGAACCTAAAATTAACCTGATTTAATGTAGAAGTGTTTAGAAATATATGATATTCTTATTTACAATAAAAGTGACTCCAAAATGACACAATACATGATTTACCATTTATTTCTAAATGCTTCACTGTCCCAATAATTATGGAGGGCACTGTAGATGCCAGCTGCTCTTCTTGCAGCGCATATGTTTCTGTGTCAGTATATTATTTTTTACAGTTAAACTTATTTTTATAACATGGAGAGAACTGAATTATATTTTGGTTACAATTTGTTTTAATTCATCACTTGTGTATAAATGTATTTATTAGTTGTGCTGTTTTATACATGCCCATGCATGTCCATAGTTACCTCTGCTTTGTTGCCTACCTTCTCACCAATTAAGGAGCCTGTTGACACTGTAATGAACTTGCTATTGTCAGTTGTCAATAACAATTAAATGTATTTATTCTGGAATAAAGGCAATATATTGATAGAAAATATTCTGTTCTCGCACACACCGCCCATCTACAAAAACAGAGGGAGCTGATTTTGGGGAGAGGCAGGGCAGGTCAGGGGGAGAATCTCAATTGTACACTCCTAGTGTCCGCTCTCCTCGCCACCTCTTCAAAACCCATTGGATGAGAAGGGCAGAGGTCCTTCCCCTCTGAACATCTCCTCCAATGGGTTTTGAGAAGGAGGCAAGGAGAAAGGAGTCCAGGAGCAGGGACGGTCCTGGCCGTTCTGCCGCCAAAGGCGAGACAAAAAAAATTCCACCCCTATTAGAATAGTCCCAGTAAGCAAAATGATGTTGAAAAAATATGGATTTTCCAGACATTGAAGTTAGGTTGAATTTAGGTTCTGAATGAAAGGTGAAAATACATATTTTCCGGATGTTGAAATCAGGTTAATTTTCGGTTCTGAATTCAAGTTGAAAAGACGTCATTTATAGATGTAAATCAAGGCTGGTCCAGACCGGACAAAATCTTAACCAAACACAGACGTCTATGACATCAGTGGACGTGGAAATCAAGGCCGGACTGCACCAAAAAAAGACATCCAAAAGGCATCAGCGTCGGTCTGTGCATACTGAGGTGTAGCCTACAGTGTCGCCTGAAATTGAATTTTATGAATGCCCATCAATGTTGTAGGCTCACCGTTTGTAAAACAGGCCGTTGCATTGGCTTCATTAGTCCTGATTCCTGTGACTAATCAATTTGGCTATTTAAGCTCTGAATATCAGCCACCCAACTTTATCAGGAGGATTTATCCTGAGCCTATTTGCAATGTGTTTACACAGCTCTTAAAAAATTGACGTATACAAACTTGAAACCACTCACAAAGGGATGAAACTCCTCGACTGAGTAGCCTGATTGTCCATTTGACTTTGACCTGTCCTGTTTTTAGGATATGTTGTTTGTTAACATGTCAGCGCATTTTTTATTTGATTGGGCGCCATTTAGGTTAGGCTATTTGATCTGAGAAACCTGCATGATATAAAGGTTTCCGTCTCATTACATTGCCATACATTTTATCTCCAGCCTGTTGGCTACAGAAAAGGCCACATACTCTTTCTACCATATGCTATATCTGCTACATGAATGTTGGTGAGCGCCGCAGCGATGCGTATCTCCAACAGCACCCTGGAGAGGCGCTCTGGGAATGGACAAGATCAATATTTTGTGTCCCTGCCTTTAACAAAGTGGGCACTGCTTATCACAGGGCGGCATCAGCGCTCACCTAAAAAGCCTATATCAAATCAAATCAAATCAAATTGTATTTGTCACATGTGCCGAATACAACAGGTGTAGACCTTACAGTGAAATGCTTACTTACAAGCCCTTAACCAACAATGCAGTTTTATGAAAGAATACCATATGCCACTGGTTGAGATAAATTGTCATTGTTTTGGGGCAGAATTATTTTAGGTTTTATGTGTTGTTGGAGGTGCATTTTAGTCAGTTTATCTCAGAAAATGTCGCTTTGCCTAATCCTGCCTAATGAGCGGGCCGGCCCTGGCAAGGAGTATGCAATTGAGATTCTCCCATAGGCTCGACCCTATGAGCAAAAGAAATAGAGCACTTTTATACGTTGGCCGTAAGATGGCGCTGCGGTCAGCATTCCATCGCCCAGAGCTCAGTGTAATAATATCCGTGCTGGAACAAAGAACTACTTAACCAGACAGTCATGGGAAAAACCATAAGAGTCATTGTGCATGAGAGAAAATGCTTTAATTAACGTTGACACATAATTCACAAACACAACACTCACGACCCCGCACTAATAATCACTTCATTAAATACACTGGCAGTGGAAACACTACATGTTCTTGTTAAACTTTGTGAAAAGTAAAATCTCTCAGCGCTCCAACGGTTTACACGGTCCTGAGCTATTATTATGTATTTCTGTCCTCGATATCTGTGTTCTCCCATCGAAAAGGAAATGCTTTTTCTGCCCATTCCCGAGGGGCTATGACAGCCCTTATACCCCGACTAGTCCCGCCCACGCCTGGTCTATCTCATTCTCAGGCATTTGCATGTAAAAACATAAATCACAGAAAACTAAATTCTGTCAAAATAAAGAATACAGCAACAGTTCGGGATTACAGTGAATTATGAGTTTAGGGCAAGCCGCGTGGATAAAGCGATGGGAAACAGCCTGGAATATGGGGGAATCTATGGAAAAGCTACAGAGTTGAACAAGTTGAAGGAGAAAAGTTTGGGCAAACCTTAGCCCATTTTCTTCGTGCATGGATGCGATTCGAGAGGACATGTAAGGTCAGAATGCAGGAGAGTTCTCTCACTTTGTTTACTGCATAATTCACTCTCGTTTTAGTGTAAACACTGGCCTCTTGTTTTAAGACTCTTAAGTGGAGTAGAATGAAAAAGCCTTTCCAGCAAATTGTGTCTAAAAGTGTAGCCTATTGTACTAGCTAAATTGAAAAGGGGTGAAAGACTAGCCACTGCGAAAGAAAAAGTGCTTTACCACAATGAATTAACAAAAGGAGAGAAACTAACAAAAGAAAGACATGCACAATGGCAGAAAAGGAGAAAGAGAAGGTGTATCGCAGTGTCTCTTTCAAAAAGTTTGAAAGTTGGAGCTCAAACAAAAGTCGCTGTGAAAATCAACAAAACAAATCAAAGGATTTGGAGGGCAGTAGCGGAGCCCTTCCCCCTCCATCTACGGCTGTGGCAGCGGCAGAGAAAGCGCTGCCCTCGGCTATGCGTAGTGTTAGCGTGTCAAGGAAAGTTTCCAAAATCTCCGCTGCCAGCCTCTCCACCGCAGAGCTAAAGAAAGCCTCTTCCACTCCTCTCTCCTCCATTTCTCCCTCTATTCGCCAACTAACTGAAAAGTTCAGTAGCACTAATTCGGCTCGGACGCACGGAGCCCCGAGCCCTGGCATTAACGTGGCCGGGAAAAGCACAACTTTACCCCGATTTAAAAGCAGCAGGGGTGAGATATCCCCGTCTCGGAAGTTATTCCATGAGGACAGTGGATATTTACAAGTTACTGACACGGTTGTAACAGAGTCTCCGACTGACACTAAAGTTCAGCAACAAAAGTCTTATTCAGGCACAGACTCGGTCTCTGGGTCGGATTCGGATAGAAATCAAAAATTGATTTATACTCGCAAATCTGCTCAAGGCAGCAGCGTTGGGACCGATAAAAGAGATTATTCCCTAATTGATCCGTCTATCTCTGATAACAATAACTGCAGTAAGACTTTGAATGCTGAGGATGATGTTTTTGTCAGTGCAGCGCCTGCCTGCAAGTCACACAGGAGCTATTTCCCAACTCACCATGGAGATCCTCCTGTTCATGTTGACCTAACCAACTGGCCCAGTGTCACGAAAATCAGAGAGCTTTTTGGGGACAGGCACAGAAAGAAGCACCGGTCCACCTCTGATGCAGAGGATTTAAAATCTGCTGACTACCTCCAGCACTCCGCCAGCTCTAAAGAGAACTCTGTATCAGACAGAAGCGACAGGCAGTCTCCCAACAGCCTAACCCCTGAAGCCAATTGCCTCTCACTGTCAGACAGACACCGCAGCAGGGCTGCCTCCCTGGACAGAGAGAGGAGACACCAGGGCATGGACTCAGCCTTTCACCCTGACCAGCACTACTCAGACGAGGCAGAGATTGAGCCAGCCAGCACTAGTATTAGTAGAAGTGGTAGGTTTCTTAGGGTGGCCCAGCCATCAAACACGCACAGAGCCCACAGCCCCAGCAGTGGAGGAGAGGGGCCTGAGACCTGGACATCTAGTCGGAACTCTGACACTCCACCCTCTGTCCTCGCCGTTGCCCCCACCCCCCCACCTCGGAGCAGCTCCGTGGGCCTCTCCTCCTCCCGTATCTGCCCCTCTGTAGAGCAGCGGCAGAGCCAGGGGGCCGGGCAGCCCAGGGATAGTTTACATTCCTCAAATAGCTCCTCCAGACCGGTGGCCCCTTCCTCTGATAGAGCTTCAGCCAGGGCAACCATCACAGCCCGCTGGAGGTTCAGCTCAGGAGACGAAGAAGAGGAGTACCACCGAGCAGGAGGAAGGAGCGCTCCCTCGTTAGGTGTCAGCGGAGGTTACCTCTCCCGTGGAAAGAATGGTTGGTGGGGTGGAAAGGTCCTCGGAAGGTCTTCAGGCAGTGAAGAGGACAGTCCTGCATCACTAGGACCCAGCCGAGACACCATGAGACGCCGTTCACTGAGGAAGAAGAAGAAGAACAGTGAGGTTGCCGTAGCAACGGGGCGAGATAATGGCGAATCAGACGACAGCGACGACGAGCAGGCAGGTATGATGGAACACCTGGAGAGACACCAACAGAACACCGCCGCCACGGCAGAACAGACTGGGAGCTCTCGGAACCGGCTCAGAGAACCCGAAGGCTCTAGAACCCGTGCAGCGCAGAGGGGACGCAATTCCACTCCTAACCAGATGGGGGCGCAGGAGAGCTACAGACGCCAATACACCTCAGGGGGGCCAAGGACATCATCTCCCTTGACCACGCCCCTCACAGGGGTATCACGGGTGTCAAAGGTCAACATCTCATCATTTATTTCGAGTCCCGGTGGCTCGCAGAGCAGCAGTAGATACTCTAGCACAGAGACACTGAAAGAAGAGGACCAAGCTAGCTATGCTAATAGAAGGGCTAACTCTAACACTACTACTACTACTACCACCCCAGGCAGTGTGGTTGGTGCATCCTCCTCCATGCTCAGTAAGACCTACCACGGTAACTTCACCATGTACCGCTCCCCCAGCTTCGGACACGGGGATAACTTATCCCGCACCCCTGTTAGGGTCTGTCCCCGCGTTCTTCCCACTGTCAATCCCCCATCTCCAGCCACAGGGGACACTCGAGGGGTTACTAGGGAGGAGACTACAGTGTTCAGGCGGTTGCTAAGTGGTGGCGTAGTCGGTGATACGGACAGGAACAAGATGTCGATGTCAAATCCGGATATCGCCTCGGAAACAATGTCCCTCCTCAGCTTCCTGAAAAGTGACCTATCAGAGCTCAGAGTTCGGAAGACGGACAGGTCAGGGTCAGGGGTTACTGAGGGGTCATCTGCGGTGTACAGGATGGGGTCAAGAGGTCTCCACCCAGGACTCCGCCCTTCATTAAAGGACCTCACTGCAACTCTCCGACGCGCCAAATCCTTCACTTACTCTGATAAACCAGTAGAGAGGCAACATTCAGACGGGTCCTCGGCCAAAAGAAGCTCTTCTGAGCAACGTCTGGATCTAGACGGAGAGCGTGATGGAGGGAGGGGGGCGGTGCCTGACAGAGAGGTGGCGAGTGATGGAGGGGACTGCAGAGCAGGGGGTTATGGGGATGAGGAAGTGATGCCCATGCCGCTGCAGGACAGGTATGTCCAGGAGGCCAGACAGGTGATCAGAGATATCTGCCAGATGAGCGCTCGCGAGGATGATGAAGATGTGCTAGCGACAGATTGCACTGAGGATGAGGGTTTCAAAAGAAAAGAAGTGGAGGAACAGGAGATACATGAGAGGGAGGGAGGTGAATTGAAAGATGAGGAGAGGAGAGCTAGAGAGGCTGAGGTTGACATTGGGGCAGCCTCCATTTCAGGGGAAAAAGAGAAGCGGGAATGTGAAAACAGAGATCTAGAGAAGTGCCTACAGAAGGGAGATTCTGAGGAGAACGTGTTTTATGATCGATCTGTTGATGAGCTATCGGGTCACGAGTCGAGCCTCACAGATGAGGGCATAGTCACAGAACCAGAGACTGGACTGGGTGACCCTGAGAGGTTATTTGTGGGGTCAGGTTTAGGATCATCTTTGGCCAGAGATGTGCTGGGTCAACCCCTGACTGTCTGGAAGCAGTCTGCTCTGCATCAGGAGGAATGGCCAGGGTTAAACGAGGGAATGAGAGAGGGATCAGGGTTACACGCAGGAGCGGGTAAGAAACGAGAGAACCCTGTCTCTGTTCCTGCCCTTGGGGCTGAGACTGAGAGCGTTGCTGTAGTAACAGAGATGAGCGGCATCAACAACAACAACAACAGTACTAGTGGGAGGACCAATGTATCCCAGAGTGCCTCAGCCCCAGGACTTGAGGCTCCTCCCACCCCGAGCGCTATCCGCCGCCGCCGTAAATTCTCCTCAGCCGGTAACACAGGCTCTGACTCCAGTAACGGCAGCAATGGGGAGTCGAACGGGGATCCTACTGTTTACCGTTCGCTAAGCGACCCCATGCCTCACCGGCGCCGCTCTGTGTCAGAAGAAGGGAATAACAGTTTCTCTGTGGATAGTAACCTGCTGGGGTCGCTCTCTCTCTCCTACAAGGGGGCAGGAGGAGTCGGAGGAGGAAGTGTCCCAGAGTCGTCCTCTGCAGCCGATCTATCAGAGTGCACGGGCAGCGCTGCCAGCGAGCTATCGGTGTGCAGCGACGGTGGTCTCCGTGACGATAGTCTCCGTGACGACTACAGCAATGTGATCCGGAGCATTGTTGCCGAGCCAGGAGCAATGGACAGATTGATGACGGATGACAAAAACAATGGGAAAGCCACGAAGAAGAAGTCCTTCTCAGACCCCAGTCGCCGTGGTGATGGCCCCCTGCTTGACGAATCAGGGTTCAAAAGTCACCATCACCCCAACGAACCAATCAGTGAGCTGGATCAGCTTGGTCAGATCCCGCCCTCCAGCAGTGAGCCAATCCTGAGTGAGCAGAGAGATGAGCTGTGGGAGCTCGGAGATGAACGTGGACGCCCATTATGTAGTCGCCATGGCAACAATGAAGGTGGAAAACTCCGCTCCCAATCAGAAAGGGAGCTGCACTCCTGTCTCCATGGTGATGACACAGACGGAGGGGGACAAGGGGAGATATTGAACTTTGACCCCAAACTAGCGGAGGTTCTATCTCCCAGAATGGGCCGGCGGACCTCCAGGAAACGCCCCAACCGGGTCATGCAAACAGCATCAGAGGAGCTGGACCACTCGGAACCAGGTCCGGAAGACCACGGTCCAGAGGAGAGTCAGGCTCAAGACCAGACTGATCTCAACCCCCCACTGCCCCCGCCCCCCCCCAAATCCAAAGCCATGTCTAAGCACGTCCGCCACGCCAGCGAACCTGCCACCTTCATCCCCATCTCCCCACCTCCACAGCCCCAGCGAGCCCAGGCGGACCCGCCTGCCCTGCTAACCGCCTCTGAACCCTCCATCCTGGGTAAGCCCACCGGTGAGGAGGCCCCCTCCCTGGAGGATGTGACCAAGCGGTATATTCTGGCTCTGAATGCTCCTGGGGGCGAGGGGGAGCCGCCTGGGCCTGGGCCTGGGTCTGGGCCTGGGTCTGGGCCTGGGTCTGGAGGAACGGTGCCTGTATCAGACGGGTCTAACTCCAGCCCAGCTGCTCCTACTGGTGCCAGAGAACCCAGACTGCAGAGGAAGAGCAGCGAGGAGCTGACCACACCAGCCCCACAGAGAGCCAAACCCAGAGTGGTGAGTAACATCGCCAACGTGTGTCTGGTCAAAAGTGTGTTTTCATATTGCAGGAGAGGAGGCTGAATGTTTGCTGTTGTCATGGATGAAATCCTCTGGGAAATCAACACAGCTAGATGGAGTTATGTTGTGTTCTGACGTGTATTTACTATTCATACTATGCTGGTAATGATGAGTTGAAGGAGGGGCCCTTTTATGAATCATGTTGCAAAGACATCAGCTCAACTTTAAAGAGCTGCGCCATGATTCTGTGAGTGTTTGTGTGCTTTTCGTGCGTGAGAGCATGCGTGCATGTGTATGTGTGTTTACTCTGTAGAATGTTATAGTGATGGAGTGTTTGGAGCAAATATGGAGGACAGTTTGCCAAGCTCCTTATCTCTATAGCTCTGGGGGAGAGAAACTGCTTTTGGGGTAGAGAAACTGCTCTGGGGGAGAGAATCTGCTCTGTGATAGAGAAACTGCTCTGAATATGGCTCTGGGGTAGAGAATCTGCTCTGGGGTAGAGAATCTGCTCTGGGGGAGAGAAACTGCTCTGAATATGGCTCTGGGGTAGAGAATCTGCTCTGGGGGTAGAGAATCTGCTCTGGGGGAGAGAATCTGCTCTGGGGGAGAGAATCTGCTCTGGGGGAGAGAATCTGCTCTGGGGGAGAGAAACTGCTCTGGGGGAGAGAAACTGCTCTGGGGTAGAGAAACTGCTCTGAAACTGCTCTGAATATAGCTCTGGGGTAGAGAATCTGCTCCTGTTTCTTCCCGAGCTTGTTGAGTGCTATTTGGTCAACACACACACAGGCTCTCCACAACTAACACACACACACACGCACAAAACAGGCCTCTAATGCCATGACCATACTCCAATGGTTATTTTTAGAGTGTATTTGTTAGCAGAAACATCAAACAGACTTACACAAGCGTTAAACAAAAATTGTTAGAACAAATGTTAAACAAGCATTGGACTGGGCACATTAGCTTCTGGACTAGCGCCTGCTGTTAATAGTCTGGGCAATGCTCTGCTCTACTTCATTTACCTTTTGCTTATGATTGTACAGTCATGGTCAAAAGTTTTGAGAATGACACAAGTATTGCTCTTCACAAAGTTCGCTGTTATGAGATATTTTTGTCAGATGTTACTATGGTATACTGAAGTATAATTACAAGCATTCCATAAGTGTCAAAGGCTTTTATTGACAATTTACATTAAGTTTATGCAAAGAGTCAATATTTGCAGTGTTGACCCTTCTTTTTCAAGACCTCTGCAAACCGCCCTGGCATGCTGTCAATTAACTTCTGGGCCACATCCTGACTGGTGGCAGCCCATTCTTGCATAAACAATGCTTGGAGTTTGTCAGAATTTGTGGGTTTTTGTTTGTCCACCCGCCTCTTGAGGATTGACCACAAATTGTCAATGGGATTAAAGGTCTGGGGAGTTTCCTGCCCATGGACCCAAAATGTCGATGTTTTGTTCCCCAAGCCACTTAGTTTATCACGTTTGCCTTATGGCAAGGTGCTCCATCATGCTGGAAAAGGCATTGGTCGTCACCAAACTGTTCTTGGATGGTTGGGAGAAGTTGCTCTCGGAGGATGTGTTGGTACCATTCTTTATTCATGGCTGTGTTCTTAGGCAAAATTGTGAGTGAGCCCACTCCCTTGGCTGAGAAGCAACCCCACACATGAATGGTCTCAGGATGCTTTACTGTTGGCATGACACAGGACTGATGGTAGCGCTCACCGAGTCTTCTCAGGACAAGGTGTTTTCCGGATGCCCCAAACAATCGGAAAGGGGATTCATCAGAGAAAATGACTTTATCCCAGTCCTCAGCAGACCAATCCCTGTACCTTTTGCAGAATATCACTGTCCCTGATGTTTTTCCTGGAGAGAAGTGGCTTCTTTGCTGCCCTTCTTGACATCAGGCCATCCTCCAAAAGTCTTTGGCTCACTGTGCGTGCAGATGCACTCACACCTGCCTGCTGCCATTCCTGAGCAAGCTCTGCACTGGTGCTGCCCCGATCCCGCAGCTGAATCAACTTTAGGAGACGGTCCTGGCACTTGCTGGACTTTCTTGGGCGCCCTGACGCCTTCACAACAATTGAACCTCTCACCTTGAAGTTCTTGATGATCCGATAAATGGTTGATTTAGGTGCAATCTTACTAGCAGCAATATCCTTGCCTGTGAAGCCCTTTTTGTGCAAAGCAATGATGACGGTACGTGCTTCCTTGCAGGTAACCATGGTTAACAGAGGAAGAACAATGATTTCAAGCACCACCCTCCTTTTTAAAGCTTCCAGTCTGTTATTCTAACCCAATCAGCCTTGTCCTCGTCAACCCTCTCACCTGTGTTAACGAGAGAATCAGTGACATGATGGCAGCTGGTCCTTTTGTGGCAGGGCTGAAATGCAGTGGAAATGTTTTTTTGGGATTAAGTTAATTTTCATGGCAAAGAGGGACTTTGCAATTAATTGCAATTAATCTGATCACTCTTCATGACATTCTGGAGTATATGCAAATTGAATCATCAAAACTGAGGCAGCAGAATTAGTATTTGTGTCATTCTCAAAACTTTTGACCACGACTGTATGTGACTGTGGGAGCTGATAACCTAATGGCTATAGTACAGCCATACAGTCAACCCCTGCTGCCTGTAGGCCTAGTCCTTTCCCCTGCTGCCTGTAGTTAGTCCTTTCCCCTGCTGCCTGTAGTTAGTCCATATCCCCTGCTGCCTGTAGTTAGTCCTTTCCCCTGCTGCCTGTAGTTAGTCCATATCCCCTGCTGCCTGTAGTTAGTCCTTTCCCCTGCTGCCTGTTGTTAGCCCATATCCCCTGCTGCCTGTAGTTAGTCCTTATCCCCTGCTGCCTGTAGTTAGTCCATATCCCCTGCTGCCTGTAGTTAGCCCATATCCCCTGCTGCCTGTAGTTAGCCCATATCCCCTGCTGCCTGTAGTTAGTCCATATCCCCTGCTGCCTGTAGTTAGTCCATATCCCCTGCTGCCTGTAGTTTAGTCCATATCCTCTGCTGCCTGTAGTTTAGTCCATATCCCCTGCTGCCTGTAGTTAGTCCATATCCCCCTGCTGCCTGTAGTTAGTCCATATCCCCTGCTGCCTGTAGTTAGTCCATATCCCCTGCTGCCTGTTGTTAGCCCATATCCCCTGCTGCCTGTTGTTAGTCCATATCCCCTGCTGCCTGTAGGCCTAGTCCTTGTCCCCTGCTGCCTGTAGGCCTAGTCCTTCCCCCTGCTGCCTGTAGTTAGCCCATATCCCCTGCTGCCTGTAGGCCTAGTCCTTGTCCCCTGCTGCCTGTAGTTAGTCCATATCCCCTGCTGCCTGTAGTTAGTCCATATCCCCTGCTGCCTGTAGTTAGCCCATATCCCCTCTGCCTGTAGTTAGCCCATATCCCCTGCTGCCTGTAGTTAGCCCATATCCCCTGCTGCCTGTAGTTAGTCCTTATCCCCTGCTGCCTGTAGTTAGTCCATATCCCCTGCTGCCTGTAGTTAGCCCATATCCCCTGCTGCCTGTTGTTAGCCCATATCCCCTGCTGCCTGTAGTTAGCCCATATCCCCTGCTGCCTGTAGTTAGTCCATATCCCCTGCTGCCTGTAGTTAGTCCATATCCCCTGCTGCCTGTAGTTAGTCCATATCCTCTGCTGCCTGTAGTTAGTCCATATCCCCTGCTGCCTGTAGTTAGTCCATATCCCCTGCTGCCTGTAGTTAGCCCATATCCCCTGCTGCCTGTAGTTAGTCCATATCCTCTGCTGCCTGTAGTTAGTCCATATCCCCTGCTGCCTGTAGTTAGCCCATATCCCCTGCTGCCTGTAGTTAGTCCATATCCCCTGCTGCCTGTAGTTAGTCCATATCCCCTGCTGCCTGTAGTTAGTCCATATCCCCTGCTGCCTGTAGTTAGTCCATATCCCCTGCTGCCTGTAGTTAGTCCATATCCTCTGCTGCCTGTAGTTAGTCCATATCCCCTGCTGCCTGTAGTTAGCCCATATCCCCTGCTGCCTGTAGTTAGTCCATATCCTCTGCTGCCTGTAGTTAGTCCATATCCCCTGCTGCCTGTAGTTAGTCCATATCCCCTGCTGCCTGTAGTTAGTCCATATCCCCTGCTGCCTGTAGTTAGTCCATATCCCCTGCTGCCTCAAGTGTATTTATTGGGTGTCGTGTGTGTGTTATTGTCGTTAGGTATCACTCAAGGAAAGATTGTTCTCTCTCTACAGACACACAAACATTGTGGTTTAGATCTTCTCTGGAATGTCTCTCACACACACTTTTCCTGTGACTATAAAAACGGTTTTATCTATCTTACATAGCTTTGTTATATTAAATTACTCTTTGTTACAAGCACTGTTGGCTTGTCTTTAGGAAGTTTTAGGTGGGGGGGGGGGGTTGCTGTCCCCCCGCTTTGGAGAAACAGTAAGTTGTTGTGGGTACTGATGTGTTTGATAATTGCCAGGGCCGCTGGGGGGGTTGTGTTGGCCTGGGAGATGTCTGAGCAGTGTCTCTGTCTGTTACTTCCATGTAAGCTCATGCTTTGATTTAGGAGGAGAGGACAGGCAAAAAAGGGATTGACACTTTCAATTGATCCCAAGTAGAGTGCACTGCAGACAAGGGTCTGTGTCTCCTATGCAAGGAGAGGTGTGTGTGTGTGTATGTTTAAGGGCAAGGGAGCTCTTTCCTTTTCTGGAGACTGAAGAACAACTCACCTCCCTATAGTGTACTAGGGCTGGGAATTGCCAGGAACCTCACGATACGATATTATCACCATACTTAGGTGCTGATATGATATGTAGAGCGATTCACATGATTCTATATGTATTGCGATACTGTGATTTTATTGCGATTTGATGTTCCAAACATGCTAAACATAATATTGATTCCTCCATCACTAGCAGTGTGCACTACACCTGCCTCTCTCTCTCTCTCTCTCTCTCTCTCTCTCTCTCTCTCTCTCTCTCTCTCTCTCTCTCTCTCTCTCTCTCTCCCCGCTTCTCTCACTTTCTCCCATGCCCCCTCATAGCTTTAGACTCCTCATAGCTTTAGACTCCTCATAGCTATAGACTCCTCATAGCTTTAGACTCC